AGGTTAAAGACTGGATGGTGGTACACATTTAAATGGGTTATTTTTAAGTTAGCAGATACATGTTATTTTGAGCCTTCCAAACAACCCCAATTTCAAACCAATATCTACAAAAACAAAAGACATATGAGCTGTCAAACATCAAGGGATAAATCCCACAGCAATGCATGGGGATTTATCCATTCACCTGCTATTAACATCAACTTTAATCATATGCAATTCACTCTCTGCGAAATACTTTGAAACATCTATCCTTCTATCTGCAAACTTACAGGAAGTGAGTATACACAGTATCTCCCATGAATCCAGACATGATTATATGCTTCTTGGCAAGATCGTAGACCGGCAGCTCCACTCCAACAACAATAGCAGCTCTCTGAGCTGTTAGAGACACCCCCTGGCAAAACACGAATTGTTCTTTGTTTAAATATTTTTAATACATCATTTGTGTCTGATCCAAAACAACTCGGACATCACATTTGAGATGCTGAGCTCCTGATTCCCCCAAACTAGTCATTTCTTGACTCCAGCAAGTGAGTTATCTTTAAATAATTATTTAAAGATAGGCAGCATTGGGTTTCAATGGGTGGGGAAAAGCAGTGCTTATGAAAGATTCCAGATGACAGTCCAGAGACTGAAGTTAATTCAGAAAAGCAGGGATTTCTGATAATCTTTTATTTGTCCAATTGTATAGTTGGGAGAAGTGCTAGACAAGGTTTCAGGTACAAAGTGCCCTTCCTCAGATTTGAGGAGCAAGTACAGCCTAAGCTAAATACCAGGTAAAGCAGTAACTTGTGTAAAGAAAGTAAGCACTTAAGAGGACTGAAGGAGGGAGAGGTTATCTGAAGTAGCTTTAAAATATTCTGAAGTTACTTCCAATAATTTCTACTGGCTTTTTGTTCACAGCCCTCCTCCACTCTTTTAAGTGACCGTTTTCATTTACATATGGAGCTAAATACAAGTCACTAGTTTATCTAGCATTTAGCTTAGGCAGTAGCTGCTTAGGCTGTAGCTTTCCTGAACCATCATGGCTATGATGCATCGATTCACAAAGCAGTTTCAGCAGGAAATAGCAATACAAATTTCTCCACATGGCCTCAGTCAAGATCTTTCAACCTTGACCTAAAGCTGGTGTTCTCAAGCTGACATCTCAAAGCATGGTGGTCTGTTGATAGCTTGCTGGTCATATGGTGCTGACTCATCTTACTATCAACTGTAAGAAACTGAAGAGATGAGTGAAAAACTAAATGGAACTGATATTTCTTCAGAGATAAACATCAACGGAGAAATACTCATGTATTTTCAACTGAGTTGAAGATCATTACTTTTCCACACATCCAATTTCTGTACAGGGACATTCTCTGATCACAAATGGCATGGGAGGTGGTGAACACTGTGAAGATGTCAAAACCCCGCATCTAGAAGGTTCACATATAGGGGAGGAAAGGTACCCCCTCTCCTCCCATTTCACACATTTTTCAGTGTCAAGTATGGTTAATTGTTAAAAAAAAAAAAAAAAAAAAA